AAAATGAAGATTATTGATATTCTCTGATAAGAAATACAAGAAATAAATATTCAAGAGTAGCAATATGATGTCTGAATAATTTTTATGGCTAGAAGCTATGTTAGTGCTAGTTGGATACAAGAATCTATTTTTTTCTTTCTTCTCAGGTTCCATGCTTCCTTACATTTAACCTAAACAAACTTCTGCCTAAAAATTGATAAGATCTTCTACAAACATAACTTTTATTAATTGTGTTGTTGCCAATTGTTTGTTCAGTTCAAAACTTCATGGATACTATCACCTATATTTATCCTGAAAACACCCTTACTGGTCATTCTCATAAGACATCTCTGTGTTCATCTCATATTCCCCTTTGCATAATATTGGCCAACAGCGAGCACAGGGGCAGGAGGAGGGTATTTGTGTATAGACATATTTGTTAGTGCTCACATTACCTATTCCACAGCCTTTTACCATCTGTGGCCTTTGAGGATTAAAAAAAGGTTGCCAAAGAATCATTAATCTATTCAGCCTTTCACTCACTCACTTACTTAATTTAAAATATATGTATAGTTGCCTATCTTAATAACATAAGCCAGGACACCTTACAAAGGAGGGGGAATAACCTAGAAATAAAGACATTTTTTTTTAACAATTAATCAGTGGAATGGCTTGCCTGCAGAGGTTGTGCGTGCTTCAACACTAGTTTTTAAGAAGAGAATGGACAACCATTCTTTTGAAATGATACAAGGTCTCCTGCTTGGGGTTGGACTCCAAGGTCCCTTTCAACTCTGTTATTCATGACTCAAAAATAAATGAATCAGAATGTTATCTTGTCATTGTGCTTCTTAGATGCTACACAAGAACTGAGGTTGTTCTGTTTCTAGACTTATTGAGGGTTTATTATGAGCTGCTGTGAATTCTGCATGTGAGGAATATTGAGAGCAGTGGAAGCAGAGCTAAAAGAAGAACAAATTTTCCTTCTAACATGTTTTATTTACTATATGTCCTGCTTGTGACTGCTACTCAGTTCAAATGCTGGGCAGAAGTGTTAGTCTAAAACTGGATTTTCAGTATCAGCTGTCAATTTCAGAATCCATTAGCGCATATAGTTACCAAATAAATCTTTATTGTTATTCAGTGGAGCAACGCAAATCACTCGGACTTCATTGATACAGCTGCGTCCATGTTTCGATCTGCTGTTTCTCTCATGATGCCGTCAGGGACTGCAGCCCGACAGCTGCCCCCAAGTGTTGCAAAAGTTGATCCTAAGAGCCGAGCTGTATTCCCTCTTGGATTGGGACACGCAACAGAATATGTTCAAGATCGTGTAGCCCTTATTGGGTAATTTTACTTTAAGAAACTTCAGTGCTGTAAATAACATTTGGGAGTAGTGATGGAGTATTGATATTAGTGCTGCTTGAATGATTAAAATAAACTGTATAATGTCTACGTATACATAGATAATTTATTATAAATAGATAATAAAGGCTTTTCTTATTTAGAATTGGTTGATTTTGCTAGAAAATAGGAACTAGAATGTACTGTTTTATTGGAACAGAAGCAATCTGGCCACATTCCTCTTGATTTTTCTATTTTGATATATTATTTGTGGAAGTAGCTATTACTGTTGGGGGGGGAAGTGCTGGGAAAATCCTATTATATGATCAACTTTTGTGGGGTGTCTATCCTGTAAGTGTTTAAGGATATTGCTTAAGAGAATTCTGTAGTAATGCAGAATATGAAATATGGGGAATTAGAGTTGTGTCTCTTTACCATGAACTAGACTAACGCATTTTTTAATGTCAAGTATTATTATTCTCTCATTTCAGTGATGCAGCTCACAGGGTCCATCCTTTAGCTGGCCAAGGTGTAAATATGGGATTTGGTGATATTTCATGCTTGACAAATTATCTAAGTGCTGCAGCATTCAAAGGAAAAGACTTAGGTAAGTATATAACACAATGAAGCAATTTAGGGCTTTGTCATAACCATCCAGTGTCAACTCGCAAAACATCCCTGGCCTGCTCTTGAGTTGCTAATGTGCCAATGGCCATCTCTCTTGGAGTTAATGTGGGCTTATTGTTTGATTAATTCAGATCTGTGCCCTCATTTGACACTTGGTAGCCCAGGTAGTCTAACCGGGTGCGGTGAAATTCATGTTTTGACAGCTTGACATACAGGTTGGCTGCCAGAAGTTTTTCAAGTATAAAACAAGGATAGAGACACGTTGCAAAGCAAAATGCTTCTAACCTAATTTGGGGGTGGGGGTGGGGCTGTGAGCCGTTCGGAACCAGGCTGCAGAAGAAGCGAGTGTGTCCGCTGCTTGTGCAAATGGAGCTGCACATGTGCACACTTACCATTCCTTCTCCCTCCCCCCTCTCCCCCGTTCGAAAAGCCAGGAAGGTTGGGGAAGTCTGATGAAGGCCATGTAATCTATACCTGAGGTGGAAATGTTTAATCTTCGAAGAATACCGTTACCCCCTTGATACCATTTTCTTTTTGCCAAACTTTGACATTTTATCAAATTGAGTAATTTTGTAGCCCGATGTCAGTCCTCCCTAACTTCCTTGGGATAATCAGTTTACTAATTAATTAATTTCAGAATAAACTTTGTAGGTTCTTTAAGTCATCTACTCCAATATGAAAGAGAACGGCAGAGGCACAATCTTTCTCTTGTGGCGGCAACCGATTTGTTAAGCAGACTTTACTCTACAAATATGGCACCTTTCGTGCTGCTGAGGACGTGGGGATTGCAAATAACCAATGCTGTACCTCCGGTTAAAGTAAGCTCTCTTTTTTAAAAAATAGGTAACTGAATATGATAATTCATTTAAAGAAGGCTAATGGAAAGGGACATGTTTGTAGCTAGACCACGGGTGTCAAACTCGATCGTGGCATGTGATGTATCATGATGTACATCACCTGTATATGGTTCATATAGTTCTTGTCTGTTTTGTAGACCACAAAATTTGCAATTATTTAATTTAATTATTATTTTTGCTAATAAAAACAATTTGCTATTGCCTTGCTTAAGGTAAGAAAATTTCTATCAATGTAATTGATCTGACTCAAACTACACACCAAGAAAGTGGTTAAGAGACTATTAAATGCCATGTAGAATATACAGTACTGTTCTTTTTAACCACCGATAAGGAAACTGTACACTGGGGTCTTCTGCAGATATCTGTGGAAAGGATCTCGGATGGCAGTCTGCCATCTAGATGATTTATTAGGGCTCTAAAAAAATCACAGGATGCTAGATAGTTCCTCAACAGACCTACAACTATACTACTTCTGTTGCATTTTACTTTTGTTCATTGGTATCATTTGGAGGGAAGACTTAATAGGATATGAGAAAAAAAAGGTTATTACCTAACCTAGTTGTAATAAATTTTTATGGCATAGGAAAGTAACAAGGATTTTGGTATGGATTTTCCTTTCCTCTTAAGAAAACTTCCCTTCCTTGTTATGAATAATGGTAGAAGAATACTAAGATGTCTTTCCTTCATCCTTTAGGAGCAGATCATGGCGTTTGCCAGTAAGTGACAACCTTGTGAATCCAGAGGTACATGCTCACTCATGATAGCTGGATATCTATTTATTTACTATAGAGACTTAAATGCATTAAGATTTATACGATTGTTAGTCTAACTTATTCACTCTGAAGTTGCTCTTTCTTCCAATAAATAGATTATTTGGTTTTCTTTTAGAATTCCAAAAACTGTCCAATAGCACTCAATTGTTTAAACTATAAAAATTGGCCTAGCAAAGGACTACCGCTGGAAAAAGTTTATGATCATAGTAAAGAACAATTTAAGGTTCAAGTATTGAACAAAGTATAACCTGCTTCTCAGCTCTTCAGCTTGTCCTCTTATTGTCTTGGAGGGAACAACATCGATGAGGTAAATGTTGCTTGCTGATTATAACCTTAAGAAGTAGAGTAGCTGAGTGAATATCAATTACAGACTGCCGAAGAACATTGTCGAAATAGTTTTATTATTAAAACAAACATTCAAATGCGTCCTAGCATTTTATGTAATTAACAGCTAGGTTTGAGAATATCCATTTAACTCTTATTACAGCACCAAGTAACAAGAATATGACTAAATGAATAGTGATATTCATAATGTCCTCTGGCAAATAATTTCAGAATAAAATCTGTGTTTCTGAAAAAAATCTAATATTTATTTCACAGTTACATACAGTGCTGCATATATAGGCATGTATTAGGAGGAACTTAAAACATTTACAGTTTAGCTTATTTTATCTACTTAGATATAAATTACTTGTTAAGCAACTGCCCCACAATGCTGATAATATTTATACACCTAATATCTGTCTTCGCTTTAAAAAGTAATGAATTTAGTCCTCTGTTAGGTGTTTATTTCAATAATTCTTCCTCCATGAATTATATAGTTGTATGTTTTTCAACAAGGCCGTTGCAGATTCTTTGTAGATAATTACATTTGTAAACAATCTCAATACATTAGGAAAAGCATAGGCACTAATCCCAAACTAGTAAAGGGATCTTCAGAGGAAAAAACCATGCCTCATTCACCGAGACAAGCCCCTGATTAGTACTCCAAGTTTATTTAAATAAGCGTCTTTTCAGAGTAAATGTACACAGAATTGACACTTCTAATATTGAGTAAGAGCACTTGGCTAAAAATGTAGGTATATCTTATTATCACATTTTAACATTTATGCTGAAGAGTTTTTAGGAAAAAAACGTATACTATTTAGAAATATGTGCAAAATATTAAGATGGCTCACTTAGTACATAGTTCAGGAGATTATTTTGTTTTATCAGTTGAAGAGATCTTCTGATCCAGTTAAGTGCTTTGCAACAAGTACTGTACCAATCAACTAGTCAGAATGTAACTGCTGGAATCTTAATTGCTCCTTGTCGCCAAACCAATATATATTTTGGGGGGATGTGGTAGTTAAAAAAAGGCTTCTATTTTCATAGAATTCTTTAAAAAGAGGCTATATATGTCTTCCATTAAGTTATTCTGTAAGAGTTGACTGAGGAGGAAGTTAATGATTTAACCCAAAGAAACCTCATTGACTGACATAAAAAAGAACAGTTACAGAGGACTTTTCTCTTTCAACTTTAGAAAAATAAAACCTGAAACAATTCCTTGTGGGGATCCCTAAAATCTTTTTGCTAATACTCCTCACCAACTAATATACCTATAATTGAATAAAATAACATATTTATCCATGTTTAAGAACCAACTAACCCTAGAAAGATAACTCCTTAGTTTCAAACAACTTACGGGAAAGGTAAATAATACACTTTGGTTTTGTTGTTTGTTTGTTTGTTTTTTAAATCAAACTAAGCTACTTCTTTGATGTGAACATTCAGAATTTCATAGATAAAAGAGCTCACGGAGCAAGTCCAACATTGGATGTGCTGGTGCCAAATATGCATTCATGACTTGACAGAAATGATGCCTAATGTGTTTCAAGGTTCTTTGGCATCAGTTAGGTAGTTAGGTCTTACCACTGTAGAAGGATTTCTGTTAAACTGCAGTTCTTAAAAGTAAAACTTTTCTTCTACTTTGGTCTGTAATTTTATTCTCTGCTGATCAGAATGGCTCCTGCAAGAAATGCAAATCTTCTGTTTTCCTAGTAGGAGAGTCCTAGAGACTGTAGAAGGTGAAAGGTAGCCCCCAAAGCCCAGCTTGTCTCTATGTTATTGACTTTCTTTGCCAGCTGAAAAAGAAAAATAAGAGATCTAATTCACTTGATTGTACAGGCATTTGATTAGATTGAATACATTTTTAAAAATAAGAATCTACATGGATCTGACAGAGATAGTTATCATAATTACAAAGCAGCTACTAAATCAGTACGTTTCAATTTAATGGTATCCTAGATCAGAGTTCCGCAACTTTTCTGACTTGGCAGATCGGTGGGGGGAAGGAGGGGGAGAAAGAATGGTTTCACGTGAGTGGGGGGGGGGGAGCACACACACAATCCATTCGCACATGCAACGGACCCGTCTGCTTGTGCAAATGGAGTACACATACACACGGTCACCCAATGCTCACACAAGTGGGGATGTGTACGTGTGTTCACTCACCACTTCCACGGCCCGGTTCCAAAAGGCTCAAGGCCTGGTACCACCACCACGCTGTACACATGTAAACTACATTCACTATCAAACCTATGGGATACATAGGTTCCCATATGAACTACTTTGAGCCCTTGTAGGAAAACATTGAAGCCGAAGTGGTCCTGATTGGCAAACAGGAAGATCTGATCAAGAACCTGAGGCCAACAAATGGTTCTATTCACTAACCATGTCTCAGAGATAGCATGGCTAGCTGCTAACCCAGTAGGAAGGGATACATACTAAAGTACATGGATGAGTTTATCAAAAATATAATTCCCACTGTATCTCTCTTTGTCTTGCTGCTGCACTGTAGTTAGTTTTCAACTTAAAACCATTTGTTCAGCAACCATTCAAAGTTACAACAACACTGAAAAAAGTGACTGATGACTGGTCCTTGCACTATTGTAGTATCCCCACAATCATGTGACCCAAATTTGGACCTTTAGCAACTGGCATGTATTTATGAGGTTGCAGCATCCTGGGGTCACCTGATCACCATTTGCAACTTTCTAGCCATCATCTGACAAGAAAAGTCAATGAAGGAAAGTGGATTCACTTAATGACTGCATGATTCACTTAACAGTTTCAGCAATTTGCTTAATAATTACAGGAAAGTTTTTAAACCTCGGTACGACTCATTTAACCATAGCCTTGCTTAGCAATGGAAATTCTGGTACCAATTGTAATCATAAGTAGAGGGCTACCTGTAATGGATGAGAGGTATATAAGCCCTAGTTATGCTTTTGCTTATAGCCGCCAAGCAAAGTAGTAAAACTTTGCTGGGAGTTCCAGAATATACTTTATTATTGCTTGTATGCATGCAGATAAAATTATGTTACATCTTCAGAGTGACTTGGTTGCTTCAGGTAGATCAGGTTATCCAGAAATGCAAAAGTTACAGAGAACAAGTGGAACAGCCTTAGGAAAAATATTAATAAATTATTTGCAAATGATCCTATAACTAAAATAAAAAAGGAGTAAATTTTTCCACTATTAGTTATGTCCAACTTTAGAGAGTGGTAATTATCTCTGATTCACAACCGAAGAGCCAACGTTATCCAAAGACTCTTCTATGGTGATATGGCCAGCATAACTATATCCCAAAGGGACACAGAATGCTGTTAGCTTCCCCCAAAGTGGTACCTATTTATCTACTTGCATTTACATGCTTTTGAACTGCTAGGTTGGCAAGAGATAGGGCAAGTAATGGGAGCTCACTCTATCATGTGGTACTTAAATCTCAAACTCCCAACCTTCCTGTTTACAAGTCCTTACAGCATCTTAATCACTTGGCCACAAATATTATTTGCAAGTAATTCTGTAACTGAAGGAGCAGTCCTCAATGCCACATAGTAGAAAATGGGAGTAGATGTTGTAGCATCATGTCTTTATAGACTTCCTATTGGCATCTAGATGAAGATGCTGGGGTAAACTGGGATTAGATGAGTATTCTGATCATCATGGCAATTCTACATTCCCAAGTTCTATCATTTTTTAAAAAATTGCTGTGGGGATTTTTAAAAACCTAAATGGAAACAATTAGGTTGAGAAAAACTGAATTAGGTTAAACCTGTTCTGAATGAGAACTCAAAACTCTGCTGAATAGATGGGTTATACATTTATTTTTGTGGCATTCAAATACATTTGAATTGAATTATCTACTGAATTGATAAATGATCAAGGTGACTGATGACTGATCACTATTAAGATTTTTATAAAATAAACCTGTCTTAACTACCGTGTTTCTCCAACAATACGGCCTTCACCAATAGGAAGGCCCAGCATGATTTCTAGGCATGAGGTGAAATTAAGCCCCGCCCCCAAAATTTAGGCCTATTTAATCCATGCATTTCCCCACCATTTCTCACATCATTCGTTAAAACTACATAAGGTGAAGAGAAGTGGGGGGGAAGGGGAGGGAGAAAACTTGCTTTTAAGAGCACCCTGCAGGTAGCCTAGGCTAGAATACCCCAATCTACTTCCGATAGAACATCGGCCAATAGAAGCTCCCCAAAGGCAGAGTCACCAGCCAGTTCTATCGGCCGGTAGAAGCAGCCTTGGGGCAAGTGCCCATGCGCAGTCCCCTCCCCACAAAGCCGATTCTATCAGCCAATGGAAACTCCCCAAAGGCAGAGTCACCAGCTGTTTCTATCGGCTGGTAGAAGTGACTTCGTGGCGAGGGGAGTGTGCGTGTGGCGCTCGCCCTGAGGCCGCTTCTATCGGCCGATAGAAGCAGCTAGTGACTCTGCCTTTGGGAAGCTGCTATCAGCCAATAGAAACAGCTTTGTGGCGAGGGGAGTGCACGTGGAGCGCTCCTGTCAGCAACGCCTCACCCCGAAGTGGCTGGTGACTCTGCCTTCGGGGAGCTTTCATTGGCTGATAGAAACAGCTTCATGGCGAGGGGACTGCGCATGGGCATTCGCCCCGAGGCCGCTTCTACCAGCCGATAGAAGCGGCTGATGACTCTGCCTTTAGGGACCTTCCATTGGCCGATAGAAACGGCTTCGTGGCGAGGGAAGTGCATGTGGGCGCTCGCCACAGGGGCGCTTCTACCAGACGATAATTTTCCTCCCCCCCACACACCCCCACCTAGAGTGCCCCATGCGTACTCACCTTTCCACGATGCTGCTTCTACTGGCCGATAGAAGCGGCTGGTGACTCTACCTTCAGGGAGCTTCCATCAGCCGATAGAAGCAGCTTTGTGGATAGGTGAGTGCACATGGGGCGCTCTAGGTAGGGGTGTGTGTGGGGGAGGAAATTAAGTCATCCCCGAAAAGACGTTCTAGCCGTATTTCGGGGATCAAAAAAAAAATAAGACCCGGCCTTATTTTATGAGAAACACGGTATTGAGGATAGAGTTTATAAAGTTTATATTCTAGCAGAGTGAATGTGATACAAAATATAACTTCTGTTTATTTTGACCAATAGTCCCACAATCATATTACAATAATGTTATTTTTAAAAAATTCACCATAATTTCATGGGATGTGAAACACTAGGTTGGATTCCTGCAATATTTACTTACCTGTAAAACTGTGCTGTCTCCAAATCCAAAGCCTTCTTTTAATAAAGCTGTAATGTAACTGAGATCCATACATAAAAAGGGGCTGGCAGAGCTATAGTTATCCAGATTATCACAAACTAAATGAAAAAAATGAGAAGAATATTCAATAAAATTAGAATAGCTGCTGAAAAATAAACATACAGAATCATTAGTACTACAGAAACTCTTTGCTTGATACTGGTTTACTGCTAATCATGGCTGAAGGATCTGGAATGAGCTATGCTTTTGGCTGCTTGTTTTTCCTGTATCTTCTAGCCACTGGATAAATGGATTTCAAATGCTGGGTTGGAGCATCTCAGGAAGAGTCCAAATGTACTAATGAATGTAGCTAGAGTTATGTAATCATAGGCTGTTTCCAATTCCTTTCTCTTGATGACATATTGCTGTCTATTTAAACTATTCACAGATCATTTATTCCTCACTTAACATAAAAAGGGTATTAATACTGTTGATATATGTTTGTAAACACGTTAATACATACAAAGATGAAATGTGATCCTGTCAGATGGCATATATTGTTGAATTTATGATACCTATCAATACCTTTGTTTCCTTTCATTTCAGCACACTTTTTTCAACTATTTCTTTTATTCAGTGAGATCATTAAACTGTCTTATCTCTTAGGAATAATTATATTGCTGTTTCAAGTTTAAGTATATTAAACATGACAGTTAAGTGATTAAAAAATCTATAAACACAAGTTAGCCAAATTTTAAAAAGTGAGCTATTTCAAATTGATAGTAAAATAACTAGAAGGAATCTAGATAAAGTCAAACTCATTTTACCTTGTTTGGCTTTTTTTTCAAAGTCTCTCACATGTAAAACACCACCTTTCTCATAATCTGAAATGACAAAAGGTTAAAATTATCCTCTGACTGAGAAAAAGATACGGTAAAAATCATAGCTGTGACACAATGAAATCTGCATTTCAAATTGTACAGTACTTCCAGATCAGTTAAAATCTGAATAATGATCATTTTTTTTTTAAAAAAAAGAGGTTTTTGAATCACAACTGCAAAATGACATATTTCTTGCATAGTTCTTTCACATTTTCTTCTCATAATGCAGGGGAAACTTTTCTGCCTGAGACTGAACATATCAAAATACCATATATATAACCATATGTTTTGGTGTGTTCGAGTCTTTTCCCATGTAAGATTGAGACTTTTCAATGAGGTCCCACTCACCATCTTCAGGCTGGTGCTTTTGGCTTCGTGCTTGTGCAAGCAAAGCGTGATCTGAGTTGCCGTCTCACTATAAATACTGGTGTGGTGGTTGGCTGTGTTGTCATTTCTTGATTAGTTGAGGGAGTTGATATTTGTGGATTGGCTGGCTTTTTCGTAAGAACATGTGTGGCTGAGGTATTGGCTGTGTGTCTATCAGCTTCCTGTGTTGTAATGACCTGGGTAATGGGCTGTGTGATGACCTTCTGAGTTCTATTCTCTACAACTTCAAAAGTTGAAAACATATGTATGTATGTATGTATGTATGTATGTATGTATGTATGTTTTCTATATATTCAAAATTTACTTTAAAATTAAATTTGATTATTCCCATTTAATATATAGCTTTTTCTTTATATCATATTAAAATTTTGGAATGATGCAGCCTTATGGCTTTGTTATGTATTTTTCTTTAGCAGGGTGTGCACCACTTTGTGCCCACAGGGCTACCATTCTCCATAAGTCTGTTACACACAGAGAGAGCAATAAGACTTCCAATTTATTTCTGCCTGGAGCCTTAAGCATGTAATCCCCTATAGCTTTCTTTTAAAGGAATAAGTCTCTTGGATTGGGTGGGGGGGAAGCTTACTTTTCCACTTTTCTCTCTCAATGTAGCTGCTACTGATGTCTCAACATAGCATTGCTCCACTCCCAATCACTATCTTCCCTTCCCCTCTTCCCTCAGCTATTGCCCTCGGCACCAAGGATGTCACTTGCGGCCCTGTTCTTTTGACAGCTATGAGATTAGCGAATGTAATGGCTGTTTCTAAAAGGCTTTCATTTTTCAAAACATACCTTTTGCTGTCCTTTAGGAAAATTTAAAAACGATTTATCTATTTTACACTGGTTAATTAGTTAAAGTTAACCTTGCTTCTAGCTGATATTTTATCTGCTATTGTCATACTTGTTTATCAGATTCATATATTAGTTATTTGTATTATTTTATTTTATTAATAACATTTATATGGCCATCCAATTCACAGTAACACTGGAGTAATTCCCGCTGAGATTTTATCTTGAGATTAAGCTAAAAAATGAGTAAATTGCATCTGGAGGTTATAGTGCTAACTTCCAATTTTTTCAAACATTTACTATTCACCTATAAGGTCAGTGTCTACTGCCCGATCATAATAATAGGAAAAGGCATAAAAGGAACTTCTCTGAATCTCATCTGGTTGATGTAATTTTCCTTGTACAACCTTCAATACTTCAGAATAACATGGTTCAAATCCAGTTTCACCTATCAGAAAAAAGACACTAGTATAAGCATGACATGAATCATAAATTCCAGTTCTTCCCTTAAAAATACTACAGTCTTCATGTAGCCTCATTCCTATTTTTTTTTTCTTTTATGAATATACTCACAATTTAGTTCATTAAAAAAATAACTTTCCTAGAAAGCAGTATCCTTTTAAATTACCTTCTGTATTGCCACCATACTGGTATTTTACTCCACCAAAATACCATTCTGCTTCCAGCTGTCGTGGCAGACAAGAACTTCTGAATGTCTGTCCAAATGCTTCAAGAGAGAATATGGAAGAGGAAAATTTATTTATAAACACACACACACACATACTTTATTTGGTTTTAATTGCAAAAATATGAACCTGGGGGGGAGGGGGGAGTGGAAGTGAAGACTTTACTCATTTTCCTATAGAAGATGTTTATTCACTAGTGGTTCTTGACTGTTGGAGGGAGCAGGATAATTTGGGCACACTCTGGGGATAATGGAGCAATTTTTAAGTATTTGTGAGTCAAGGATTCAACTCAGGAGTGTTGCTGGGTGGAAGAGCAGGCTGCTTTGAATACTGCCTTCTTTCCCATTTAAGCTTTTCTCCAGCAAAGCATGATAGAGTTGCCAATAAAGTAAAAATCCTGACACAGCTATGGGAGGAGACATTTGTTTTGGAGCTCTGCCATCCACCAGCAAACTGAATATAGCAGCAATGCATACAAGAGAGGAGCTTTCCTTTCCTTCTGAAGAAGGGGATGGTCCAAAACAGAAGACAAATATAGAGAACCATTAAGACAAAGCACAATGTGAAAAAAGGTGCATGAGTTTGAATGCTGGCCATTAACACAAAATAAAACATTTCTCCAACACTTAGAAGTTTAAAGAAATTACTTGTCTGGGGTTCATTGCTTTTGTATCTCTCTTGAGTCTGGATCAACAACAAAAACAAATTGCAGGATTGACGCCAAGATACTCTAATATGCACATAGAATAGTTATTTTGCTTGACTATACCTTCCAAATTCAAAGCTCCTAATGTTGCCAACCGAGCAGCTTTCAGTCCAAGTCCCAAATAGCTATAAGGATAAGCAACACTTAATTAATAACCAAGACAATGTATCAACGTTTTACAAATTTGGAAATAAATTATATCAAATAACTTTTTTGTTGGTTTCTAAGACCTCAGTGCCAAAATAACAGCATATGGCTCTTTTACAATAATGTACAAGTTATTGTGTATAATTTGAAAAAGAAGATAATTTACCTAAAATCAAATAATGCTGATAACAAGTAAAAATTTGGACTTAGAACCTGAATTATACAAATGATTTAGGCGAACATTCTAGGCACAAAGCAAAAATACCTTAGAATTAATCATTTGTGTTTTATTTTCTCACTTACCTATGTGTGTAGAGTTTATAAGTGCTGTTGAACATTTGAAATGAGGTAAGAAAGTCCACTGGAGTTTCTGTTAAGGTTTCCTAAAAAGAATGAGAATGAAAAGTTCAGGAATTGTTATTTCAGGGATATTTTTTAGTATATACTGACCAAGCACTACTAGATGAATGATACCTTTCAACATTAGTAAAATTGATTTCAACAAATTCTTTAGTATTGCAAAAATTGTGTTTTTGTATGATTTATATAGTTCCGATATCTACTGCACAATGAAAAGATTGGAGATTTGTAGATTCTCCAGCTTCATATACATTTTTATTGAGCTACAAGTTCCCAAACGTATGCTTCAGAGATATATTGACAGGAACACCTTGTATCAAATGTAACTTTTTTTCTTTATTCTCTCCCTGGCTTTCCAACTATTTGACTTCTTAACTATTATTATAAATTATTCTAATTAGCTGTGTATATGTGTGTGTTGTCTATGTCTCTATGCATGTGTGTATAGGTCTGGGCTTACAAACAGTTAAAACTATATAAAACAACCAAATAACGTGAAGAATTTAAAACATGTTTATCATGGTAGTTTTTGTATTATTTTTACTAATACAAAAACCTATTAAAACCACCATAAAAATTCATCAAATTCACAGCTGAGATAATCACATCTACCAATGTGATATCAACGGACAGTGCCAGTTCTATCACTTTTCCAGTTCCCATGCTTATTGACAGAACTATGTTTTCAGGGTCTTTAGAAAAATCAGCAAGATCAGAGCCAATCTGATCCTCTGGCAGGAGCCATGGCACAAAAGGCTTTCCTTCTTGGTCCTGCCAGATGACACTCCTGGCCAATGGGATCTGCAAGATGCCGTCCACCCACCAGCTCTGATATGATTAATATAAGTGATTGGGGAGATGATGACCCTCAAACAATGGCCAAAGAATCTTCCCTCATAATAACTACAAAAAAATACAAGCTGGTAAAAAAGGCCAAGATGCAGCAGCAACCCCAAGATCTAAGTCAGGACCCTTTTTCTAGATGTGTGTACAGTTCTTGTAAAAGAGATAAGCCTTTGAATACATGGACATAGCCATCTTTGAATCTTTTTGCAGGTACTCCAGGCAAAAAAGATTGGCTAGTAATTAGATATTATTCCAGTTGGATAGGGGAAGGGCCAGAAATTTTTAGACCTCTAGATTCTATTTTTTATGTCATGGTTAAAACAAATTTAAATGCATATTCACTGTTTTGTGTAGTTGTTTACGGATGCAACATGTGAGGATGGTGAATATAGAGGAACAGTTTAGATACCCTTACAGTTAGGACTTTGTAATATCTCTTTGGGTAAAAACGATAGTTTCCAAACATTTCCTGCAGTCAAATAAGAGTTCTTCTAATTTTGCTTTTGGATTTCTTTTCCATTCTACCTTTGGGAAATTTTTTAGTTAAGAAATATTGCATGTCTGAGATTTGAAAGATTTTAAAGATAATTAATTCTGATAATGGAAAGGCCAATCCAAACCTAAGTGTTAATATTGTGGAATATTAGTTTTTAAGACATGTTGCTACTTAGCCAATTTCATTCTTCTGTTCACTTGCACAATGTTTCATGTGACCACAACAAACCCAGAAAGTAATAGAGGCATCTATGTGTTTAGCACTGGCAAGGTGTGCTTTTCTGAAAACGCTTCACCCTTTTTTCTCAAAATAGATTTCCAAACGTGGTTATGGTTAAATATTTGAAACTTTGTTTCACTAATCCAAAGAACTCTGTTGCAGAATCTTTCAAGTTACCTTGATATTGTCTAGACCAGGGGTTGCCAAACTTTTGGACCTCAGGGACTACCAAACTCATAATTTTAGATCCCAGGGACCACTAACTGGTTCTGTGGATGTGGCCTAATTTGTGGGTGTGCCTTGGTGGTCATGTGACTGGCTGGGCATGGCTTGTATGTAAATATCAATATTTATATAAATATTGAATTTTTTTATAAAAAAAGAGCAACTTTTACCCAAAATCAGGCAAAGCAGGCAGATTGAGTTGCTCACAGAATCACAGATTCATTCAGAGATCTGCCATTGGCTAGCTCAGTCTGTCACATAAAATTTGCTTGCAAGCAAACTCACAAAATTAATTCACAACACACCATGCATGTAACTGTTGAATTTTTTATTTTTTAAAAAGAGCAACTTTTACCCAAAATCAGCAAAGCAGGCAGGCAGATTGAGTTGCTCACGGAATCACAGATTCATTCAGAGATCTATCTGTTTGCCATTGGCTAGCTCAGTCTGTCACATAAAATTTGCTTGCAAGCAAGCTCACAAAATTAACTCACAACACACCATGCATGTAAATATTGAATTTTTTATAAAAAAGAGCAACTTTTACCCAAAACTTTTAGGCAAAACAGGCAGATTGAGTTGCTCACAGAATCATTCAGTGATCTATCTATCTGCCATCGGCTAGCTCAGTCTCTCAAATTTGCTTGCTGTGAGCCTGCACTGAATTTGCTTGCAAGCAAACTTTCAGTCCTAAGGGAGGTTCGGCTGTGCTGAGCCGAAGATCTAAAGACTAGCTAGAAAGTAAGAAATCCAACCATTTCCTGCTTCCTAGCTAATCTAAATCTCCCGGCACAGCAGAAGCTATGGTCGGAAAAGGGAAAAATAGCAATTTAGCAGGGAAGTTTGCTGGGTAAGGAGTGGGCGGGAGGGTTCCTGTGGGCCTTGTGTTTCTGCGCAGCTTGGATTAATTGCTTTGTGGGGGTGCTCTGGGGGTGAGATTTCTCTGCGGCCCACCAAAATTTTCTCACAGCCCACCAGTTGGCGACTGCTGGTCTAGACCAGCCTTTCTCAACTTTTTTTAACCTGGAGGAATCCTTGAAATAATTGAACTCCTATATAAAAATCTGCAGCTTACATTGTGCAACATGAAGTTAAACATTTTCTTTAACCACAATAATTTATAGAACCTCTGGTGACCTTGTGTGGAATCCTAGAGTTGTCCGGAATACTGTTGAGAAGGCTTTCCAGATGGGGACAGAGAGTCTGGCAATACTCATATGAGATCATATTCGTATAAGCGATGCTGTTTTGTAGACAGCTACTGCAGTATTAGCTGACATTTTCAGCAGGTTTCTTGCAGTCTCCTGCAAGGTCTGCAGAATTTTTGCAGATCCAGCAGATTTTTGTCTTCAAGTTCTATGTAGCTTTCATTTCTCAATAGTGTTTCTCAGTTGAAACTGCTAATTGACAGCATTCAGAGGTGGGGTTTTTTTTTCTACAGTCTTTGTGTTGAAAGTGAATTATCTTCATTTCAAATTCTAAGACAGCTGCTTAAAGGGCCCCATCGTTGAAAATAGATAGAACCTTACACTCATAACCAGAGAGATAAGAAAGGTAAAAGCAGTTGTTCACTCCCAAATCTGGCTAATTGTCAATTGCCTTTTGGGGCCTCTAACAGCTTTAGAGTTAAAAAAAAACACTGCTCAACTTAAATGTATTTTTACTACTACAAGAAAACAATTACTGTTTTCTTATTTGGAATTTGTATGCAAATTCACATAGAGTAAATAAACATTTAAATATGCAGAAACGCTGGGTATAACTTTATATTAATTAGAGGTTGGGCCAGCTTCTATTCATTTAAGGATTCATGGAAACTGGAAATCTGAAGAGCAGTAGCTACATGACACAAAACAACCATTTTATTTCAAGGTACTCTTCAAGTTACAGTATGACCATAACAAAGCCTGTTCATTAGGGCCATAAGTTGTAAGAATCATAAAACAGGTTTGGTCACAAACCTTGTTTTTTGCAGTGGTTAAACATGGCGGTCATAAAACAAATGCCACCATCATTAAGTGAAAGCTCTGCAGTTTTGCCAATAACTAGAAGTACCTACCAGTTTTCAGCAAAACCAAAATAAAATGCAGTTATGTGACTGCAGGACACAAACAACTATAAATCAGCCATATTGCCAAGTACACAAAGTATAGTCATATGAATGCAGGCCCCCCTGCCCCCCGACTGTTGGAACATCATATCTGAGTGGTAAATTCCCCTAAATTCAGGTATATTATAACTTTGAACGATCACTGAAAGACTGGTTGTAAATTGAGAACTATCTGTATTTTGGTAGTGTGTTAATCCAGCCATTGTTTACATACCATGTTTTATAAATGAGTATGTTCATGAGCCACAACAATATTCAATAAGCCAACAACACTTTACTGTCCTGAATGAAGCCATGTAGTTTCCTTTCAATGAATTTTGAATATGATACAAAAGAGTATTTGGATTATCTATAGCATTAGAAAGGCATTTGTTCTGTTAAGGAAGATATCAAGGCTGAAAGTGACAATGGACATAAAGATTATTGAAAATATGGAACCTGCAATAGATCCAGCTATTCTATCTCCTCACCTCCAGCTGTGGCAGGAAAGTTATTTGAGTTGAAGCTCCTCCCAGGTCCAGAGTTCCAACTGTCTGCTGCTCTTGGCCATACAACTGCCCTGCAGATAACATTACAGAAATTCAAACAGTACCTATATACAGCAAACAACAACAACCATGTTCTGGGAGATTTTTAGCAAGTCAGAACAAACAGAGCAGATGACTCTCCTACTATTAATAGGCTTCCTATTTAATTTTTGTGGATTCTATCTATTAAAATAGAAATATGCCACAGTAAATACCTGTCAAAAAATTCACAGTGATCCAGGCTAAAATACCTGCAAGAGAAAGAAAAGGCTACTGAAAAATCCATCTATCTAGAGATTACAAATACAAACTACAAAGGATTATTTCACAGGCTGCATTTCTGCTGATTAGTAATTATTAGTACTTTTCCAAGCAGAATGGCATTTCATTCATTGTTTGGCTTCTCAATTTTTTTCACGAATTAGTGGGTGAGATGAGAAGATATTCTCTTAACTTTCATTACTGTTTCTCCATCTAAAATTTACTCAGTCTCTTTTCTTTGTTCCAGTTCTTGTATTTTCCCATCAGGTTTCTTAACATACTGTAAACCCTGCAGATTTATTGCATAATTTTACTGAAACCAACTTCAAGTGGTTAAAAGTTTTTTTGGGAGAAAGTTTTGTTCTGACTGTCTTGAAAGAAATAGTACTGGCTCCTTCAAAAAAACTCAGTATGTTCATATTAGATAACTTCTGTCCAGTTTTCAATCTTTCTTTTTGAGAAAGCTGGTGGAAAAGGAGATGCATGCATATGGGTAAAAACTGCATTGCTTACTCAAATGGATGATCTGCATCCATTAGACCTTTAAAGGCATTTTATACAATTGATAATGAGGTGGAATAGAATAGAATAGAATAGAATAGAATAGAATAGAATAGAATAGA